TCCCCATAGGAAGAGGGGAAAAAATAAAACAAGGCAAAATCAGAGAGGGAGACAAACCATAAGAGAAGACTGTAAATCATAAGAAATAAACTGAGGGTTGCTGGAGGGGAGGGGGGTTGCAGGATGGGGTAATTGGATGATGGACATTAGGGAAGGCATGTGATGTAATGAGCACTGGGTGTCATATAAGACTGATGAATCACTGACCTCTACATTTGAAACCAATAATACATTATATGTTAGTTAATTGAATTTAAATTTAAAAAGAGATTTAAAAAAAACTAGTTCCCCATAAAAAGTTAATGTGCTGGAGGGAAGGGGGGCGGGAGGGATGGGGTGGTTTGGTGATGGACATTGGGGTGGGTATGTGCTATGGTGAGTGCTGTGAATTGTGTAAGACTGATGATTCACAGACCTGTACCCTTGAAACAAATAATACATTATATGTTAATAAAAAAAGAATTCTAGCTAATAAATGTAAAAGGAATAACATTAAAGAAAAGTTAATGTGTTTCTAAATGAATAAATATCATCACATTGACATAACTAACTTCTTACTAGTACTTTTTCTTCCTAATAAAATTCTTACACATACTAATTTACCTGACAATATAATGAGCTGGGAGAGACTGACTCATGTTTTAGCTTCATATAAGGACCACTGGACTTGGTTTCTAGCTGGACTGAACAAAGTATCTCTGGTTCTCCCTTGTAAATTGAAGGCATATGGGGTCTTCCTGGACTCTGGATGTTTAATGCTTTGAACTGGCTGGGACTGAAACATGAACCTGTCTTCATCTGCTCAGACTGATATTAAGACACTGGAAATGTCTATATGTTCACTTCTTTTCCAGAGTTCATGGATGTTTAAGTCAATGGATGTCAATGGATCTCAATGCCAAGAGGTCACGAAGCAGCCTAAAATAAAACAGGTCAGTACAGGGGCAGCCCTTTTCTATTAAGGATCATTATATTATAATGATCTGTAAAGTGATTCTGGTATTTATTGTTGACTCTCCAGTATTTATAATAGTACCTTGCATACACTAGACATTAACTATTTATTACAAGAATGAATACCGATCAACACTACAACATAAGCTCCATGACCGCACAGACAGTATCAGCATTATTATCTAGTCTTTTCACCACTAGCATGATATCTGCCACAAGATGTCACTCCATAAATTTAAACCGAATGAATGAACAGTCAATCCATTAAATAAGTTTCTTTGGGTACTTGCTGGATACAAAACTAAATCTAGGATAATTTCCAGAGGCTCTGGTGTATGAAGGGCAGGGGTTGCAGGGATGGACATGAGAACCATAAACTAAAATGACAGACCAAGTAGAAAATGTCTGCTAGAAAACAGAAAATAATTATAATAAAATATTTTTTAGAAGTCCTGACTTCTTAGTCAAATATTACTTTAGGATATCCAAAAGCAAATTTGGAGATCTTATGTCCATCATCCATCCATTTCCAAATGCCTGGCAAGGCAATCCATGACATCACGTGTTCTTATCCCTTATCCCAGACAACTTGTGGGAAATAAATTCAATCAATCAGTTAATACTTATTAAGTACCAGTTCTATACCTAGTCCTGGCTAGGTTTCTAAAGATGAAAGACATAGTTTTTCCTTGGAATCCCAGTTTAATGCAGGGGCTTTAAGCAGATCTTAGTTTCAATGTGGTTGATTCACCTAAATCTCTGAAACTTTAAATTCACAAGGAGTTGTAACCAAGTGAATGATGAGAAAAGTCATCATCGTCATCATGTCAAAACAACTCTTTATTATTATTATTCATTAAGGAGCTTTTTCATAAACATGATTTCTCATTTGTATTCGCTAAGGTACCATGAGTGAGAGGAGATATTATGTCCATTTTCATGGGTAAATTTAGGATCAAGGAACTTAAATAACTTGACCCAAAGTAACACACAGAGTAAGAAACAAACATAGGTCTCAAAACCAGGTTTCCCATTCCAAATTCTCGTGTTTTTCCCCAGTACACTTTGCTGTTTTGAGATAAATATTCATCAATGACCCCAGATCAATACAGATTCTTCTAAACCTAGTGCTTCTTTCTCACTGTCTCCGATAGCTTATTTTTCCATTGTCTTTGATAGCTTTGATGATGATACATGTAAAACGACATGTAGACATGATTCCAGAATGTCACTACTCCGCCTCAGAAAGCTTCAAATGCATAGCTCCTCCATCTTTCAGAGCCTCTTTTGAAATATGAATTTGAGGGAGAGTTTGGGTTGCTTTGACTTTAACTGCTACCCAGTACATAAATGTCCTTTTACTCTACATCTTCTTTGTGTCAAATCCCTTGCATTACTGCTAGCTGCCTCCAAGCTTGCCAGAATCAAGAACTTGGATAAAATCTAGCTGGCGGAAATTCAATCCAGGCAAGACAAAAGTGATGCTGATAGGCAGAAGTATTTAGAGTAAATAAGGAGAAGTGCTGTTTCGCTGGCAATCGGGACATCATACCCACCAAACATAAACAGCTTTGTGGTGTTACTGGACTCTGTTGCTTCTGGACTTCCTAACAGCTACTGTGGCTGGAAATGCCATCTTCCATCTCCAGCTGGCTTGAAGGCTGCATACTGTCTTCCAAATTAAGATTCTGCCACAGTGATGTACACATTTGTCATATCCAGCTGGACTACTATAATGCGTTCTAGCTGGTTCTCAATACACAAAACTACATAAACGTTACAGACAACAGTGTAAAGTAATTTACTTGTTGGGAAAAGCAGCCATCAAAATTAGATGCATGCTTGGGTCTTTGGACAGGCCCTATGGCTGTCAAGTCTACAAAGGACTATCAACTTTAGTTGCTAAAGACAAAGTTACATCACAGGCTAACATGAGGCCAATGTCCAGAACTCTGCAATGCAGACAAAAACAACTGATGAATCCAAAATAAAGAAAGAAAGAGAGAGAGAGAGAGAGAGAGAGAGGAAAGAAAAAGTCAGAATCATAGCATGTTAGATAAAGCCTTTGACTTTTACTCATGGGTTTGGTTATTTGCTTACGTGCTTTCCAAAATAAGATATTTATTTACTTACAACCCAGAATAAGTCATGTTCAACGTAGGTCAGCATTTCTATACTTCACAGTACATCCTTGTTCATTGAAAAACAATGAACAAAAAACATTACATTAAGTGTAAAGTGACCTGTAAAATTCACCTTGTCAAAATGCCTTTGCTAAGATGAAAAATTGCAACTGGCAACATTTTTTTTCCAATAAATTATCTACGACTTTTAATTCCCAGAGAATGTCATAACTTTGATCAAAGAAAAAAAAAGTGTGTGTGTGATGTAATTTCTCCATTTGGACCAAGATCAAATGGCATAATTTATAATAATATAGGCCAAAGATTGGCAGTTTTTTTCTGTAAAGTTCAGATAATGCTGTAAGCTTTGTGGGCTGTATGGTCTCTGTTCAACTGCTCCTAAAGTGCGAAAGCAGTTGTAGTATGCAAATGAATAAGCATGGCTCTGTTCCAATAAAACTTTCTTTATGAGCACTGGAAATTTAAAAATGTGAAAACTATTTTTATTGTTTGGGCCTGCAAAAACTTGTAATAGGCTAGACTTAGACCATGGGTCATGGTTTGCTGATACCTGTTCTATCGAACTATATAAAGTGAGAGGTAAAATTGTAGACCACCAGAACCAAAATCCCTAAGTCTGCTACTGCTTTCCGGGGACACCTTGGGCAAGTTACATAACCTACCTCAGTTTTCCCATCTGTAGAACAACATTAATAACCTTAAAAATCGTAATGAGTTATTGGGAGCATGAACTCTGATCATAAGTTTTGCAAATGATGCTAAGCGCCTATAGTAAGTGCTCAATAAATGTTATCTATTAGTATGAGTTACTATTTTGGAGTTAATACCTCTTTGGCTTCTTTTAGTGAAAGGATTAGGAAAAGAGCTTTCTTCGTACTCCAATTCTCAAAATATGTTAAGTGCCTAACTATTCTCTTCTCAAGAAAGGAGGGAACCAAATTTACCCAGAGATATCCAAGAACATTTGGAGTGGGGCAAAGGCAGGAGCAGCCCCGAGTTACAAACTCTGCCTCCATCTGAACTGACACCTACCCGATTACGGTCTTCATTTGTCAACAGTTTCTTCTCCACACACTTATCCAAGATATCTCTAACCAGAAGTCTGTCCACCAGGGTGGGCTGGAGGAGGTTCAGCAATTGGAGACACTCATCATGAGCATTCTCGGAGGATGGCGAAGGCAGGTCAGTGAGCTCTGGGTTCAGGTAGCGGGCGGCTAAAACGCTACCTGCTCTCTGAAGGGCCACCAGAAATTGTCTAGGCCAGCCGGGGGGCCAGCCTCCCTTCTCCAAAGCGTTCAGAAGTTCATCAGCCGCCTGCATGTTCCCAGCGTTGACCGCGGTCCTCTGGATCTGCTCCTTCACGGCATTGGGCAGAAAGTCCAGGTAGTCCAGCACCGGCTCCACCTGGATGTACGTTTTCACTCTGGCCCTGAAACACGAGATGAGATAGCAGAAACTCTTGTCTGCAGAATAGCTGTTCGACATCTTTCCTCTCGCAGCGAAGGGAGAGGATTCTCCCCAACAGACGGACGGTTTGCGGTTCTCTGCTCAACAGGTGAGCTGGGTGTCCCGCGGTCGATTTGGAGCCGCAGGGTCCGCAGCGCTGTGCCTGACGAGCCAGTGGCCCGCAGGACCCCCAGGGCGGCGCGTGGGGCAGGGGGGTGCTCGGTCGGCCGCACCTGAGCAGGGGGCGGGTCTCAGGGACCCGGCGGCGCGAAGCTGCGAGCGGACGCGACCCCTCCGACTTCTCGGCTGTGCTCGCCCTGGCCAGGGACCCAGATGCCGCCGCCGCCAACTCCGGTGCGAGCTTTGAGCCCCGCTTTCCGCAAAGCAGTTCTTGTAGTTCGCCGGAGTTGGGTTTCTGTTTCGATTCTCTGCGTCCTCCTCGGGCCTTTCCAGACGTAATCCGCCGGGGCGGGGATGTGTTGGTTTCCCAGCGCAGGAGACGCCCTTCGGTCGGCTGTGGCAAGAACAGTGTTTTGGTGGCAGGCGCTGTGTGAAACGGAAAAGGAAAGCGAATTCGAAAGCCGCGATTCAGCCACTCTCCGCCTGCAGGTATTTTGACTTTTGTGCCTCAAAACTCAGACTTCTTTCCCACAGCCGTCTGGCATGACCGCACCCTCCCCCCAACCCCGTCAGCGAAAATGTGGAGGGCTTGGAAGCGCGTGATGCGGGACTTCCCGGTCCAGAAGTGAAGAGAAACAGCCCCGGACCCTGACGCCAGCAAGGAGTTACCCTCGGCTGGTGCATACAGGTGGGTTCTGCCCCACCTCCCCCCCCACCCCGGGTCTGGAGATAAGATGGTCACACTGTAGGAAGCAGGTGGAGAAAATAAAGCTACGAAGACATCTTTCCAGAGAGGTGTGAACCCAGAGCCCCAGAATGAATGAACTTTGCACCCGGTCTAGAGTAAACCTGACTTCCCGTGGGTCCGCCCAAGCCAGCTCTTTCCGCTGAGAATTTGTGGGTATGAAAAAGAGGGAATAATGATAAAGGGTTTATTTGACTGACTGATGTGTAAACTGTAGTATTTGTTTGGCTTTGACCAGGGCCTGGTGACAGACGCAGAGGGACTCTAACCACCAACTCAGTTTAAGAGCAAGCCAAGAATGAAGGTTTTCTATCTCCCAGCCTGTAAGTTCCCCATATTCTTTAATATACAACTTTCCTTTAATAAAACAAAACAAAAATCCCCAACAACTTATTTTTGATATAGCTGCCATTCTTTTCTTGGATTCAATACAGAAAGTTTTGGCTGAAGCAGTGAGGAACTTAATTAGCTACTAATGTACCAACTTGTAGTAAACATCAACATTTGTCTATGTCATGAGGGAAAAAAAAGACACCCACACTGAAAAATGGCAGCTTCGGTTCAGTACAGAAGCCACATAAAAGTGAGTCCTTCAGGTTGCTACTCACATTCTGCGGTTCTGGGGGCCTGTGGGCGGTAGTGTGTATGCTTCACCATGAGAATCTCTTGGTCTAGAATTATGTGGAGAAGGGAGGGGTCAGTTAAGCCATTAAAAAGATACATTTAGGAAAAGTAATCTCTTAGCTAAGCATATTCAATGAAGTTTAGATAGGACAGGGGAGCCTACTGCTGCTTTGGACTGGATAAGAGAAATACAGAGTCCTTGTTTTTCTCAGAGGCATACAAAATACTCAGTTGAGCTTTTTATAGCACGTCATCTTATTTTATGCTCTAATTATATTATATAGCTAAGCTATTTTCTTCCCTGTAGGATTGTAAGCTGCTTGAAGAGAGGCCATGTGTACACACTAACCAGTAGAATACAAACAGTAGAAGGTCCTAACCAGTAGGTCCTTGCTGATTACCCTCAATGGGAATTTTATTTGCCTTGACCTTAGCGGCTGGTCTAATGTCAAACACATAGTGAAAGTTACTGAAGTGAAATAAACTTTGGCCTTGCAGGTGGACCTGCTTTATATTATTCTTTTCTGTTTCTTCATAAAATACCAGTATGTATTAATTTTGGGATTTGACCTTGTACCTAAAAAAAGAGAGAGATTAAGGGGTCAGTTGTTTAAGTGTCTGACTCTTGATTTCAGTTCAGGTCATGATCTGATGAGTTTGTGAGATCGAGCCTCACGTCAGGCTCTGCACTCAGTGGTTAGTTGGCTTAAGATTGTCTCCTCTCCCTCTGCCCCTCTCCCCACTTGCTCACGCTCCCTCTCTCTCTCTCAAAGTAAATCTTAAAAAAAGAGATTAAATTATATGTTTTTACAAAAGTATTCAAATGATCAATTTTAGTTATTGGGTCTATGAAGATATCTTTTAGGACTATTCCAAGAAATTCCCTCCACCCCTGCCCTGGAGGTGCTGACAGGTTTCATTCTGTACATTAAAACAAAAGCCAACCAAGCAACCAAAAACCATTCTGTCCCCTGATGCCCATTCTTCTGTTCTTGAATGTCAATCACTGGAGGATACAAAGGGATTGATGGCTAAATATGGGGAAATAATGTCATCATCCTAACACCGTCAAATTGCTATTTGGATGACCGAGGGTCAAAAGTAGAAGCTTACGTGTTTGGTGTTCAGATTATGTCATTCATTCATGTAGTCATTTAAAAATATTTATTATAAGTATTTACAATATGGTCAATGCTGCTCTTGTGTAGTTAATAAAACTGAGCAAAGCTTCTAATTTTATGGAACTTACATTCAAGTGGAAGTGGGAAGACAGATACCAAATAATAGCTAGAAAATAGGCAATGTGCCACTTGGGAACAAATGCTATGAGACCTACAGTAAGATCCATTCCTAAGTATTTTGTTGTTTTTGTTGCTATCATAAATGGAATTGTTTTCTTTATTTCTTTTTCACATAATTTGTTGTTAGTGTATAGAAATGCTACTGATTTTTGTACATTGATTTCATATCCTACAACTTTACTGAATTAGTTGATTAGATCTAACAGGTTTTTGTTGGAGTCCTTAGGATTTTCACTGTATGAAATCATGTCATCTACAAATAGAGACAATTTTACTTCTTTTTGTCCAGTTCTGATACCTTTTATTTCTTTTTCCTGCCTGACTGCTCTGGCCAGGACCTCAGTACTATGTTGAATATGAGTGGTGACAGTGGGCACCCTTGTCTTGTTCCTGATGTTAGTAAGACCTAGATAATAATGCACACTACAGTTTCGCCAGCTGATTTTTCATATAGACACCCTCTAATTCTCACCACCAGCATTTCATAATATCTATCAATAACAATTCATATTTACTCTCAAGTAAGAGTCACTTTGAGAGATGAGGATTGAATGAAGAAGACTGAGTGTGAGTATGAACACCAGAAGGAAAATAGAAAGGGACCTCTTTTTTAGGAATCTTCCATAATCTTGATAGGACCGTTCTGGAGGGAGGAGATTGAAGGTGGAGAAAGCCAAGCCTCAGTCTCTCAAAATGTGTCTTTTTTCTTTATCTATAATTTCGCATTGTGATTTAGTTTATTTTTTGCTTTTTCTTTGAATAGATGTTTTCCTCTGATAACTTTCATTTTCATTCTTCTCTTTGTTTTCCAAATGTAAGTTTCTATTTCCTTTCTCTTTTGGGGTAGGAAGTCTTGTCAATCTATGTCTTTCACTTTTCTCTAGACCTGCCTTTTCTTTTTAAACCCAAAAGAAACATTTCAGTCCCCATCAATTTTTAAAAAGTCACCTGTTGCATTTTGTTCTCTAAACAGTAATTCAGGAAGATATGAGATTACAAATTCCTGCTGTTACCCAGCCTTTCATCTGAGATTTCTATAGCTGAGAAATAGTAAAAATCATAGCTGCCACTTCTTTGACAAACTAGAACTACAATATAATAGCAGTATGCTTTTTTCCCCTCAATTAAATTACAATAAATCTAGTTCAATAAGGAAATGCTTCTAATACTGTTTTTCTGTTCCTTTGGTTGTTACCAACTTGTACCAATAAAGTGCTGACTCTGTTTCATTTAAAGCTAGGTGTCCTTAACCTAGCAGTATGGTGCTCTGATTAAGCATGATGACCCTGAGCCAGACGTCAGGGCTCACACCTCAGCGCTGCATCTTAGTTGCTGTGTGGTCTTAGGAAAATCACCTGAAGTTTCTCACTTGTGAAACGAGCAAGATACCAGTACCAGGCCAGGCCATAAGGTTGTTCAAGGGCTAGACTGTAAAGCACTTAGCACCAGCCCTGGCATTTTAGGTGTCCAAGAAGTAACTACAAGCAATGAGTAAGAGATGGTGCTACCTCTCAAAGAATGCACAATTTATACTGGAAACAAATTAGTTATGTACATAAGCCTATATAATAACTAGCCGTATGATTGAGTTTTTAGATAGGTTCACTTTTTTCAAGAAACAGAAGCTGATAGACTGATTTAGCAGAAAGTTTATTGAAAGGGTACTGTCATAGCTTTATATTTCAAAGACAGAAGTCCAAAACAGAAAAAGGAATTTTAGCTAATTTATTAGATCCTAATACTCATTTCTTAATTATTTCTACCATTTCAGTTATAAAATTCTGGTTTTAAGCATGCACAGAGTAAAAGTGTTTCTATATAACAAACAATGTTGGGGGAAAAAGTCAGGAATCAGTGAAAAATTTTCCAAACATCTATTTTTCCAAATTCTTCCTCTATAGCTTAATCCTTTTAAAACAGTCACTTGGACATGTTTTTGTTAAAACAACACCTATACCTCAAAGGCATAGATTGGCCTTTTTTTTTTTTTTAAACTTTATTTTAAAATTAATGGTTAAAAGCAACTACAGCCAAATATAACTAGAGTGCCATTGTTTTTTCCTTGAAATTATGGTTGATGGTTAACTGGTAAAAACACTTGGGGTTAGATGTCTAAGCCTGTGTCCATTCTGATTGAGAGGTTGCTATTCTAATCACTTAATATATACACCTCTACAATTAGTTAAATATCTTTATTTCACCTGCTCATATTATAACTGACAAAATTTTGAAGTAGAATGAGTTACTGAAATCAAGCATTAAGATAAATCAATCTTTTTTATTTACTAAACAACAGAGGGTTAAACTAAGATTTTTCTAAAATAATAAAGTGAGGGTGCCTGGGCAGCTCCATCGTTAAGCTCAGGTCATGATTCCAGGGTCCTGGGATGGAGCCCCGCATTGCATTGGGCTCCCTGCTCAGCGGGAGGTCTGCTTCTCCCTCTCCCTCTCCCCTTGCTTGTGTTCCCTCTCTCGCTGTGTCTCTCTGTCAAATAAATACATAAAATCTTTGAAAAAATAAAATAATAAAGCATTATCAACTACAAAATGTATTTTATTATTAATGCACTGGTTTATATCAGTTACATTGAACAATCTTATTTCATCTTCATCTGATGCCTATTTAATTTTTATTTCTATTTTATGATACATTATTATAGTTGTACATGTAAAGATTTTCTAAGTATATATACTTTTTATTAGGGTCCATGTTTAGATATTTTTGCTGATAAGGAATCAGGAACAAAGTCAAAGTACTTGGAGACCACGGCTTTAGAGAGCCATCTAAGGGCTAGAAGTTGTGATGAATTTGAGGAGCAGGATTAGTATGAATAGAAGAAGAAGATGTATAGGGGAAGGGAGAGTGAACTCTGGGCAAAGAAGGGAAATTCAACATTTAGATTTTGAAAGTGAAATATTTCAAGTTACTAGTATTGCTTTGTGAAAAATGTCAGTATACTAAGTTAACACATGGAAACTGAATATATTTCATATTCTATTGCCAGATATGCAATGGGATATAAAATATATTCTTGAGTTGAAAAATTTTTTTAATTTTTTTAAATATTTTATTTATTTGAGAGAGAGAGGGAGCAGGCAGAGAGGCAGAGGGAGAAGGAGAAGCAGACTCCCCACTGAGCAAGGAGTCCGATGTGGGGCTCAATCCCAGGACCCCGTGATCATGACCTGAGCTGTAGGGAGATGCTTAACTGATTGAGCCACCCAGCCTCCACTTGAATTGAATATTTTAATAAAAGTATGTTCTATTTAAAAATAGTTTTTGTTCACTGTAGAAATTTGGGAGGGGGATAACGCAATGCTGAAGATGATTATATTAGTTACTTGTAATCCTATCACCCAGAGATAGGCATTTTTAATATTTTAAGTGTATTTCCTAT